CCATCGGTCCCTTTATTTTCTTCTCATATTTTTTTTTTGTCCAACTTCTCTTATCTAGGTGGGTGTACAGAAATTACAATGTGTGAATAAAATTGGGGTTGGCTTTGACAGCACAGCGCCAGAGCGGCTCAGAAGAACCTGGCGACGACGGCTGCAGTACTGACAAGCCCACAACAAAAAAGTCACTGACATACAAAATTTAAAAGAAGGGGAAAAAGTAAAAAAAAAAATCCACACAGATAGGCTGCAAAAGAAAAAGAAAAGAAAAAAGAAAACGAAAAGGGGAAGAAAATAAACAAAAGAAGGCCTGTTACTCGATCAAGGTCTGTGTGTTGACCTTTAGGCGCGTTTTCTAGACGGGGTGCCACGTCCTGGCCCCAGCGTCCATCGTTTGTCTTCCCTTGGGACCTCCTTGCTCTGCTTCCCTGCAGCTCCATTGCACACCCCCGGTGTTTCGCCTCAGTGTGGTGGGGTCAGCTCAGTCGCCCAATCCACACTGTGTCTCCGGTGCTGTCCCATGCAGGGCCGTTCCCCTTTCCCCACAAACGTTTGAAAGCCCCCTCATCGACAGTGAAAGAAAGAGAATCAGGCCATGTCTTCTCGGGGACTTAGCCCTCCCAGCCCCGCTCCTCTTTCAAACTAAAATATCTTACTGTGTTTTCAGTGAGCGCTCACCCAGCAAATCCGATTCCCACTTAATTTCTACACCAGGAGTGCAATGACATCGGTCCCTTTCACTTTTTATTTTGTTAATTTAAAAAAGTCACAGCTGAAGACTTTTCCAGTGGAACCAGCTGCTTCTACTCCCTGCTCCCCACCCCTGGCCTTCCGCTGTACCCAGTGGCCCCCACTAGCCTGTGCCCGCCATGTCCCCTTCCCTCTCCCTGCGCGGCTCCTGGGGTTTTTCCACTGCTGGGCCCTGCAGGGCGACGTCAGAGAGCCGCTCTTACTCAGCTCCCTGCAGACTCATCTCAGCTGGGCCTTTGCAGCCGTTTGGAGGATTGTGACATTTGTGTTCAACGCATGCTCACATCTCCTTCAGCAAACAGCCTCACTTGCCCACCCCATGTCTTCCGCCCAGTGCAC